AGGCAGTGCTCCCATCACAATTACAGCCTGGAAAAATGACCAAGAAAGTCTCAAAGTCGGAAGACACTAATCCTGCATAATTTTCTTCGGAATAAGCTTCACAAAAAGCTAATTATTTAAATATATCATACCAATATAATATAGTGCAATCACATATTCCTACTGTCATTAAATGGCAAAGATACAAATCGAACAGGTAAATTAAAAGATGTCTTCTGAATAATAACCATCAACAAACCCTAAAAAATATGAATCCAAGATGGTGATTAAAAAAGCATTCGGTATTTTGATACAAACCGTACCGAATGCCATTAACTTTACTAATTATCACCTTACGCACTAACCAATAGCCTTAAAGCAACTATATTTTGCAGTTAGGGCACACTCATGGCCGCCTTTTGTATTTGTCACACTCCATCATGGCGGGACTCTCATTGGTTACTAACTATTTAACCTTTCCAGTAAATATAACATTTTCGAGGTCTACTTAAAATTGAAACATTCAGCACCACTTTAATACTTCGATTGTTGTTTGAGAGGGATAGGCAGTAAAAGTACTTCTATCGACTGTTCATCTTCTCTCTCTTCTTTTAACTTTTTGGTGGTAATGGTTGTAACCAAAGGTTAGAGTGAGTTACGTAAGTACCGGTCTCAGTGCGCCAGGTCATATCTAAAAGACACCATTCCATCTACGTCGATTATCAGAAAAAATAATGACTGCATTTACCTCTTATTGACGAATGCGAGTAAGCATGAAATACAAACGAGTGTTAAGCGTTAACTTCCTTCAACCAATATGGATCGGAAGTGAACTCATGGCAAGTCACCTAGATTGATAACAGCATCACAAAAATATGACTAATAGAATTCAGTTGCCATCAGCACTAAAGACCAGACAACACACATCACAAGCTAACCTCAACCATCAGTACATTGACCATGTTAAACACTTCCTAAAGATAACAAAAAGAACATAACGATTTATACATTTTAGGAATCAAATGATGCTACAACCTTACAAATTAAGGAACCAGATACAAAGTCTACAGAAATATGATAAATATATGGAAAGGGTTCAAGCTTCTAATGATACACTCATCTGTTAGGTTTATTTAGATATGGGGAGAAGCATAAGCAAAAAGGTACTCGGGAAGTGAACAAGTCAACAACCCATTGCTTAACAAATACGTGAAGCTAAACAGGGATGGATAAGACATATGGTGAGTAGACCTTCAGGTGATATCACACACCAGGCTGTAGAGTGAAACAGGAATGAAGAACGGTGAGTCAGTCACCGAGGGTGACACTGAGAGCATCATATTAGGAGGAAATCAAAGCTTGTGTTCCGTCATGAAACCAGCTAAAAAAGACAGCAGAGAACAAATTGAAGTGGATATATGCTTTTGAGTCCTTATGTCCCACTAGAGACCCAGCCGAAAAATGCTACTAATAGTCAAAGGAAGAAATAAGGATAAAACGAATAAGTTTCGAATATAAAGATTAGTGTTATTTAGCAAAATTGAACCGTAACATCAGATATGCTCAAAAGACAAGTTTTATGTATATTTCAAAGGTTCAGTGGGATGCTATCAACTCCAATGAGACTGTTAGTAATGACTATTAACTATGAAATGAAATGAAAGTTGTATCTGTTTCGTTAGATCTCTAACAATGATTTATAATTTGCCCTATAGACACGCACTAATTAAGTATGACAGTGAAAATCTATATTAGTCACTGTTTAAATGTATTTAGTTGTTATTTACGTTTCATTGTTCTACTCCACCCCGCTATAAAATTGGTTTTACGTATTAAACGCCTACAATTAATTATATTGTTATTTTAATTATTACTACTGTTATAAAGTATGATGTTATCTCCTACTGACTGATATGAGTAGCCGGATAATACTCGCGTCAAGTAGTGGTGTTTACACGCCAGATTAAATTGATCTAAACACCGGATGGTGTTTACACTCGTTTGAGGCCATCCAGTGTTCAGATCAGTAAATCTGGCTAGTAAACACTATCCGTTAACGTGGGTGGTTTCTAACTACTCATATCAATCAGTAGTAAAAGTGGATATACTATTTTACCTTCTATCTTGATTGCGATTATTGTATCAAGTTGATCATTTATTGTTATCCGAATATTTTGATTTTCCAAAGGGAATTGTAGTGAACTATCACTTGAAACTGTGGAATTCGCAAATGCAGTTGTTTCAGCTACAGGCAGCAAGAATGACGATAACAAAACCAGGACTTCATTACTCTGAAATCAGTGTGTGGCCACAGAACTCATCAAAAATGACAAGATCCGAATTTTCGGCAGTAACGTGATGTCTATGAGTACATGTACATGGTGCAGAGAAATGGTATGCACTTTACCAAGAACATTTCAATCAAGTTACTGCAGACTTTCATAAACAGATGCCATCACTGGCTTGATACTGAAGACCGGGTGAGCGATCAGAGGGTGTAAGTGACAAGGAATATTGGTAGCCAATAACAAATTGTCATTTCAATAAATATGGTGAAGGAGATGGATTGGAAATACACTGAGTCGACCCCTAAGTGACATCACATGTCAAGCAGGAACTTGATTTGAACCTGACTAAAAAGCAGTAATTTGGTCAGACGAGGGTGACATGAGAAGACTAGATGAGAAGGAAATGAACGGTTTTGGAGTCAGCTGGAAATGATGGCATCGAAAAAAGTACAATGCCTGCATGCTTCCAAAGCTATATCTTCTACTCAGAACCAAAGAAACGAATATCAATCACAATATGATTATTATTAAAGTCATTGTTGACTTAATTCATGATATTTGATAGTGAAATGAAAATATGAATGACAACAGGGCTCGAATCAGAGGCATCTGATTGTCGCTCAGTGTGTTGATAGCAGTTGGCTAACCCAAAGCTGTTTCAAACAGTCTCACCATCAGAGTCCTTAGTGAGTATACCCAAGAGTAAAATTTTTTTCCACAAGTTTTAAGGGATATTTTGAGTCTGTCTCATAAGTATCATAAAAGAATGTGTGTAACAGCATCATTGTTTTGCCATAGGCGTTAACTTCCATATGTGAGCTCCACTTATCTAATCCATTGAGTATTCTCTTAATTTTTGTATACCTAGGGGGGATTTTCTATTAATGTCAAAAAGCACACATTCGATTGCAGTACATTTTTTGCAAATTATTATTCACTGACAGGAATTTAATGGATGCACGTTTAGTTAAATAATAAAAATTTTTACAAACTGAGACCTTCCCCTATCTAGCGAGCATCTGTTTCGCGCTAAATCCTTTCACGGGTTCACTAATTCATTGATCTTAGTTTTGAACTAACTTTGGAAGAAAGTAAGTTATGAATCTACTAAAAATCTTGTTCAATATATATATATATATATATATATATATATATATATATAATGTACCAGTCAATACACGCGACCAAACAGGTGCATTGGTTACCAAGTAGCATATTTAGCCCAGCCTATAGTGAGCCACAAATAGTCTCAATGCTTTGTCGTGGATTTGTAGCCGGTTAAATCTCATAGGAATCTTAAACACTTGTCTATAGTGTTTTTTAATAAATTTTACCTCCATATACAGAGAAGTACTATAAGCGAATTTTCAGTGACTGGATAAATCGATCTAATTTAGACATCAAATTTAAGTTAAAAGATCCACTTAGAATGTAACAGTTTATAGACAAATTGGTTGCTTCTATGAAATCTACAATTCAGTTACCAGTGACGGGAATTCATGCCCACTAGTCTGCATAGCGTTAACACAGTGCATGTACTTTCGTTATCTTCAGCAAAACTATTATTTCTCTTCCTGTACATTCGTTTTTGTTCTGAGTGGAGTTTGAGATTTGAAGCTTCATTAGCGTCGGTTATTTTATAGGATAGGGTTGCTAGCCTTATACTGACCTTTCCTCTTTAACGGGCTTACTACTCGTCAAGTGAGTTTTAGGAGTGCGTCGGTTGGCGAGGATCGAACTATCATCAAGCGCGTAGTTGACGAGCACTCTAAAATTGAATTGATCAAGGTATAAACTTAACTGAAGCCACCTATCAGATTTTATTATTTTATAATTAAGAATATGGATATGATATGGTAGCTATGACTTGATTATCCAACAGAGTTATCTTCCACCTTTCTGGAATCATAAAATGGTGCAAAAGTACCTCTCTTACATCTTCAGTAAGGCATAAAATCTGAGCAACCTACAGACTATTAAGGTTGTTTTGTATTTCCAGTCCATTTGCTTTTATTGGACGAAAATGCTGGGTCTGTGTTGATAAGCTGGTGCCTTGTATAGACACATCAACAGTGTTTTGAGTTGAATATAATGTTACTTATTTGATGGTGATTAACAGTGAAATCTAGAGGTGCACTGCATTCCATTTTGGATTCGCAAGCTGGATGTACCTGCCTTTCTAATGAGTGATGTTGTTCCCACCATAGAAGTGAACCAGTAGCTCATCGTTTCAAACAACAAAGCATTGTCGCGTAGGCCATTGGCACTCTCACCACTACAAGCCAATATCAACCAAATAACCTAATGTTAATCTTCAAACATTATCGAAATAATCCTATCAGGAGCCAGAATGTAAACAAAGGCCAGACATTTCAGTTGAACCTATTCAACCAAAAAATAATAAAAACACTGTTGGTACTCTCGTGGTCTAGTGAAGTTTGAAACGACGTGTCCTGGGTTCATGTCTCAGTGAGGTATTGTCGCAGATTGTTGACGCAAGTAGATAAAGCCAATGAGTGCCATTTACAACTTAACTAGCATCCTGGGCTCCACTACTAGCTGTCATCGATAAAATTTATTTAGTCTAAACACTGCTTTACAATTATCGACCACTGTATTCATATGTACCCATCTCATACACAGTCATCGGTGTTTTGGTATGACTATCATCAGCAAAAGATGAAAACAAACAAACAAACAAATTCTTGCTTAATTTTATTTTTTTCATCTTTTATTCCATTTTGGTTCTTTTTTTATTTATTTATAGTCATCCGTATAATCATATTTACCTTTACACATACAACTGAAGAGGAAAAAAGTGGTTTGCAGAAGGAAAGTCATCAAATGCCACAAAAGAAGAGTAGGCTAGCAGAATGATGCGGGTTGGTGGGGTGGTGGGACGGGGAAAGAGAAGGAGGAGGAGAAGAAGATTACATTCATTTTTACAATCAAAATTACGAAGTTTTTTTATGAATTTACTCTGACTTTCGCATAGTTGAAAGGAGAAAAATCATCGAAATAGGCAAGTACTGTTTTAATGTGTTGTGGGTGTTGGTATATGTTGATGTCTGAATAGATCTGTGCGTGTGTCTGTGTGTGTTTGTAAGTGTGTAAATGTGTATATGTTTGTATGTGTTCAATGTTCATCATTAAACCTATGTACTTACCTGAGTTATATTTGACTAATTTATTAGTCAATGTACGAAAATGTTTATTTCATCTCACAGAAAAAGAAAGTCAGAAGAAAAACAAAAAACAAAAAAATCACGGATATAAACATAAGGTAACCAGAAAGTTTTGATGTTCATGTCCGAAAAAATATATTACTGAGTGACTGACTGACTGAGTTTTTGCAAGTGAATTAATAAGTGAAATCATGCTGGATACACTTAGTTCCCTACTACTGCGATAGTATATTGAGGAATAATGAAAGTAATATATTCTATGTACAATAGAAACAAAATGAAGTGAACACAAACAAGAAACTTTAAAAAGATTTACAGTAAAATTCATTAAAAATGGAAAACAAAATAAAACAACAGACAAAAAAGATTTACGTTTTTATTAAAAAAAGTTGATTTCGACAGGAGGAAAAATAAGAATGTATGTGTATGATTTCTAGTGTGATCTAGAGGCTCGTACACAACCACATAACCTTTGAAACCACATTGTTTGTCTATGCTTATTTCTACATTGAGTTGAACTGTCATAACTGTGATAATCACGTCTCCGGCGTCGTGGTGGCCGTCTACTAGTTATTGTATGTCCAGACTGATCTTGTTCTGTTGACTTTTGGATCAATTCACATGTTGAGCGATCTTGATCGAATCTAGTACTGTTGTCGATTTGGGATAAACCTAACCATGGACTTCCACCATCTGAACTCCGCCCTGAATGAAAAGAAAATATAGACAGTTGAGTGCAAACTGAACAAGGAGAAAAGCTAACAAAGAAAACAAGAGGAATATTCATTTAGATCATGCTTGTCTAAAAAAACCGTGTATGTTTTTATAATAAAATTAAACCAATCCATAGCATATGATAGAAATTTTCCAATTCGCATTACATATTTCATTAATAAAGTGACTTCGAGTTAATGTTAGTTGATTGGAGGTAGTCGACAAGACTGACAGGAGGAAGCGAGTTTAAATCTTTTTAATGAATTCACTATTACCAAGGTTGAGGATACTTAGACACGAAACCTTCAAATGAGCAAGGCTTCCTACCGACTGCTTCAAACCAGCTGATGCCATCGCAAAATGCACTGTAATTGGGGGTCACATAGTGAGCACGTTGCAAAGTTGACTGATAACATCAGACAAATAAACTTAGTCATTCTTCAGGCACTAAATTATGTAAAAGGACTTTTGTGTTTCACTCAAATACATGGAATATTTGCTATGAAAAAACCTAGAAACTAATGGACTTTGAAGTCGATTTTGTAAAAAAGGGACTTCTTTTGTTGTTGTACTGAATTATGCATTTCAAGTTCACTTCAAATGAAGGACGTCCGTGAATAGTAAAGGCCGTGTAAAAGTGATATGAAACCGAGAACAGAATGGCCCTTAATATTTGGAAAAACTTTAAGCTCTACATTTTAAATCAAGATGTGACAATGTTAATGTAACAAACATTTGTCTTCATCTAACCTTTTCATTTGAAGGCTTTTTTTGAATGTAGGGCAATTTAGTGTGTGTTTGGTAAGAGTGAATTAATCGAGTATTTCACTCGTGTTTTTATTTACCGAAAATTATTATTAGATCGGTATCTGTTAATTGCTGTAAATCAACTAAACAGGACAGAGACTCTGGAAACAATTTTTAATTTTTGTTCAGTAAGCGAGAAACTTGGCTGATTAACTCAGATTTTGTTCTAGAGTTGAAATGATGATTAATACGCTCAGTGAGTTGAGGCAATGCATATATATATATATGCTACCGTTTCGAAATTAAACAAATTAATAACGCATGCAGTATGAACCATGTAAAATCAATAAACCATTCTACAAATGATTCACAGCCACCACTTTATAAAGAAATAATGTAGACTAGTGGTACAGCTGACCTTAAGACTAGTCCAACCTGTTTATTAACATACGTTTTGCAGGTGACTGAAGTGGTCAGCAAGCTTGGCCTAGTAACCTGAATGTTGCAGGTTCAATCACTGGTAGATTGTAGGTGTTCACTGGTTAAGAATCCCAAACTAGAACAAAACAACTTATTTTTAACGATTCTCTAACTGATACTAGTTCATGACGAAGTTAAACTGGAATATATATATATATATATTACTACTGTAGGCATTTCATACACCGACCCGTAATTACCTTCGCCTAATTTTTAATTTCACTTATGCAAATTAAGAACACATAATCCAACTGTGATTATTCTAATATTTATTCTGCTCTTGTAAGCGTATAAATTGTTCGGGTGATATATATATATATATATATATATATACTGATCACTGTTTAATTTCTCCCATAGTTTTCAATTTGTAAATAAAAATTAATAACTTTGCTATTCTACAGCTGACGGTAAGAGAAAATACTAATCCAAATGATGAGAAGAAAGCAGAGATTAACGTTATAGGATTCATGAGGTTCTAGTCTACACTTGTGTTCCCTGAGCTGGATGGTCTGAATGCGATGCTATCTAGAAAACATTTTTAGTGAGTTGAATTGAAATCACTGTGGCTTTGTGGTGAGAGCTATCTGCTCGCCAAAATTGGTAGACAGCAATTTACGTCAATGTTTACGTCCTAAATCTTGGTCTTGAGAAAAAACAAGAACAAATACTTTGCTTGGGCGGATACGATTCGCAGATATAAGGTGTGACCTTCAAGGAAACGGTCACAAAGAGATGACAGATTAACTTCCAGGGAGAAAACAATCGATCAGAAGACTCTCTTTCTCTGCTAACAATAACCTATAATAATGTACATTAAAAGTTATAAATATCTGTTGATTTTCTTAATAAACGATCTGTTGCCTGGCCCTTGTCTTCTGTCGTCACAGTTTCATATTCGTATGGTTATATCGCGAAAAGATTTCGGTCTTACACAGAACAAATATTTCTGCCATGAAATGAATATATAAATGATAATTTATTTCCATCCTTGCTTATTTACATCATCGCTATGCTTCCTTCACATGTTTAGTATACCACTAAACAAACTTAACCCACAATGCATATTTTCATATTTTAATTTTGTTTACTAACAGTTTTTCAATGAATTACGTAATCTAACAATCTCTTCGCCTCAATACCCTGTTCATAATATCACCTCCCCCCTCCCTTCTCGAGAAACTCATTCACATTACATTTATAAGCTTTTTAATTCTTGCAAGCAATGGTTCAAAGGCACATCGCATTTATTCACAACTTCCTCCTTGTATCTACCTCTACAGGTAAAATCAGAAGAAATTGCATAAGAATTTATACTTGTACTGCTGAATACAAAAGTTCAGCCATACCACACGTAGACTGGATACTGTGTGAAGTGACAAATGTTAGGGAATAGCTTGTAATCTGCAAATAGACAGCAAGTTATTACCAGTATTATTATTATTATTATTATACATATTCTTCTCCTGTTCACCTGTTTCTTTACGGTTTTATAATTTTACTATATTCCTAATTCATCCATTTATTTGTAAAGGAGATAAACTGCTGCAATACTTACAATACTGAAAATTCCATTCTGCATAACAGTTATTGTTTCAAATAAAGTAATTATTATCATTGTATTATTGTTATAACAGTAATATTTTTTATTGTCTCTTTCCATCTATATACTATAATCATTTTCAATTATTACTCCACATTGTTTCCTTCACTGAGCTAAATCACGCTAAAAGTGTAATGAAGTTAGGTGGTGAGCGGAGTTCACCTATGAAATAAAGTGGGTTAGTATTAACCATCTCCATATGTTTTTATTGCCTTGTTCAAACTAATATTTTCTGTTTTCAGTGGGGATACATTAAACACCGATTTACAACGATTGGCAGTCATATGTAGTTACAGCTCTCATTGTTTTGGTTTAGCCATTTGATATGATTCCACATTTCAACCACCCCATACATGAGGTGAAAACCGCTCACTGTTGAATAGTTTTTCTATTTGCATGCCCTATAATCAGTAAAAAGAAACATGGGAAAAAACTTAGAATACTACCCGAAAACAAATGTAGTATTCATATTCTCATTGATATTTCTTTCCCACATAACTTTTCATTTACAAAGTTTATCTCCACTATGGATAAGATTTTAGTTTGATAAATCACACAGTGTTACACAGTAATATTTACTGATGACGTTTCGAGCACAAATTATTGCTCATAACCATATCAAGTTACTCACATAACTTTTTTCCTTCATTTATATACATGTGTGGAATTAACTAGATATTTGAATAAAAATCAAAATGAGGTAATGTACATTCAGAAATAATAATACGAGTGTTATTGATCAGTTAATCAAATGGGAATTACAAGTTTATCTCTAAACTCTGCACTATACAGCATGGTGTTATCTTGGTGATATCCTCTTACAAACTGTAAGAGAATCAGAATTTCTACTTTCAAATCACGCAGTTCGAGGTATAATTTACCCCACTCTCCTGCGAAAAAGGAAATTATTCTGATCACAATATTGTTGACACGACAAATGGCAATCAAGAAAGTAAAAATAATTGCATGATGTCATATACTAATGATTGGTTAATATGAGTAGTCTAGAAACCATCCATTTTAACCAGGAATACTCGCTATCCAGATCAGTGGTTTTGGATCACTTCAGTCTGTCCATTAAGCACTAATGAATTCCAACTGCTCATATGATCAGTCAGTAGTAAGTACTATCATCGAAAGACTGTTCTAGATTGCTAAAATGGGCTGTGTAACCACATTGTCTTTTATGCAGTATATCTAAATTCACCTAAATGTCTTTAAAACTAACTAATATAATGATCAGTGCTTCAAGTGATAACCAATATAGGGTAAATATTAATCAGATATTTTAATTATACTGACCTTCTGAATTTCAGTATAAACCACTAAAAATTGATAACATTACTGATGCCTGACGAATACAACTCAGCATTGTAAGGCAGTCATATTTTAAATAATTTATTCCATTAAAAACATATTTAATTCCCATATAATAAAATATATTTAAAAGTGTAGAGATGAGGACAGAAAAAACAAACGAGGGTTTTCCCTATTTTACCTCATGTCAGTATACTCATATTGTTATTATACCCCCTATTTTACCTAACCTCTGACTAACAGCCTGTAACCGTAAAAAACAACTATATTTGTTACTTATCATGCACTGCTAGAGCCAACTGTATTGCCCACTCTTTTTGAAGCTTGATCTCGTACAAACTGTTAACGCGTTAAATGTATCAGTGAATTCTGGTGGAAGTGAAGGTTATTTAATACCAGACATAAATGTAAGACCTTTCTTAAGAGTTAAGATGAAAGTCATTAATATTTTCATTCTATTCATCAAAACTTAAGTAAAAGAAAAACAACCAAGTTGTATAATCCCTGATAACCTAAGTTGGGGTTAAATTCTTATTTCAAGGAGGTATGATGTAAAACAGCAGCCTCAAGTCGTCTATAGACGAGCCAGCATTTTATGACTGAGATACAGATCCACTGCAGTCATTATCCTAAAATCAAATAATTTACACCCTTTAAGTCTCATGAACGGTGTGCAAAGACAATTCGCCTGTCACCACGATGATTTCATGACTTCGTTGTTAGACAAAGTTGTTTAATCATGATGCTACCAAGAAAGTAATCTAATTTTGTCACTTTAGATACCAATCACATTATTATTTCCCAACCTAGATTATGAATTAATGCACTGGAAGACGTTCATCAA